CCTGTGACATTTCTCCAATGCACTGGAGTAGCTTCCCTACAATGCATTAACTAGCAGCAGGTGTCTTGTTTCTCTGGCTTTTACATTCTTTCTAGCCCCTCTTCCACAGTGATCCTTGAGCCTTACATATGTGTCACTTAGGGATGAGCACCTTGCAGCCACTTATTCTCTACATTTCACCAGTTGTGGAGCTCGATAGTCTCTATCTGCCACAAAAAGTAAGTTCTTTGATTAATGGTGAGGCGTGCACTTGCCTATAAATATAAGGGTACATATGTAGAATACAGGAAGAAATTACCATGGTCTAGGGAGATAACAGAAGTACGTTTTCCTCTAGGGTCTATGACCTCTCCAGCCCTAAGTACTTGGCTAAGTTTACAGTGCCATGGACTCTTATTGAGTGGTCTTTAAGTCAAATTAGATTGCTATTGATTACCTCCAAGATAAAAGTGGCACTACTGCACTAATAAAGATAGTTTGCTGGGCCAGTTATTGCTGCAGTTGGTAGGCTTTGCAGCTGGGTAGGTTCATTGATTGGTTTTCTCCCTTGGCGGCTTAAATAGTCTCCTCTGATACTGTGAGAGCTAGTCTTTTGGGAGGAGGCTTCCAGGTCACTTCCAGTTCCATTGCTCCAAGTCCTATGTTGGAAGTATGGCTTATCTTGAGAAATAGGTTCTTCCCTTCAAGTTCTGAGAGGCCATCAAGAACTGTGGCAGCAGTCTGTATTATTTGGAGAGTCTCGGACTACCCTGATCAACAACTTGAAGAGAGGTTTACCTGGCTTATCACTATGAATTTTGTTAGAATGACCTTCAGCTATGTACATAGCGAGTTCCAGGCCAGCTGGAGCTACCGGGAGATCCCATCTCAAAAAAATTCCATAAAAAAGAAAACAACAAAAAAGTAAGAAACAACATAATCCCAAGTAAACAGACAAACAGACTACATGGAATGGAATAAAAAGTTCAGAAACACAGATTATTGCTTGGTACACAGATTGTAGATATATAGATGATGATAATAAATAGATACTTTCATATGTGATTATCTAATTGACAACATCAGAACCACAGTTCAGCAAAGAATGGTGATGAGATGCAAATATAAATATTGACCCTATATTTTCTTATACATAAAAATTAACTGAAGATAGGTCACATACTTAAATGTGAAGAGAAAAATAATACTATTTTAAAAGAAAAATAGGATATATTCCCTGCATTGGGTTAATCAAAAATTTCTTAAATACAATGCAGTCACAAAAGAAAAAAACTGATAAATTCTCATCATAAAAAACACTTCGCTCATAAAAGTTAGAATTAAGAGAGCAAAAGGGGAAAACTACAGGCTGAAAATAGATATTCATAAAATATATAAATATATACATATGCTGATATATAAATGTGAATCAAGGAGAAAAAGACACAAATTCTATTTAAGTGTGGTGAAAATATTCTGGGTCTTTCTTAAATGAAATATCTAAAGAGCCATGTGAAAAGATGGGCGATATCACTGTTCATGAAAGAAATGCAAAATGAAGCCAGGAGGGAAGAAATGGGAGTGCTGGACATATTGTTGGTGAAAATACAAAGTGATTCAACAACTTTGTAAAAATATTGGTCTGTGTTTACTAACAGAAAATACACATACACTTATGACTCTTGTTCTAATCAGAGATGTACATACTTGCAAAAGTAATGAGGGTGCTGGAAATGTTCTCTGTCTTGATTTGTATGGCAGTTATATGTGTACTCTGTACTTTGTTATACCCTACACTGAAGTAATCTGTACACTGAACTAGTGTACCTAACTGTAAAAATTCATAAAAATTGCAGTTGAACACATGCAAAAATGCTGATTAAAAACGAGAGCATGTCTCTGTGTGTTTCTGTGTGTGTGTGTTAGGAATGGAGCTGATAGCTTCATGCATGCTGAGGACATGCACCCCAGCCCTAGAAGTACGTTATACTGCCATAATTCCAAATTGGAAACAATACAAATTGTATCAGCAATAGAATTAATAAATAAATTGTGATATATTGATAAAAATGAAAAAAACTACCAAAATACACAAAAGAGGAACAAATCTCCAAGGCATAATACTGAGAGGAAGCTAGACTAGCATATAAGTCAGCAATTCTGATAGATATATACCCAAGAGGATTGAACGCAGAGATTAAAATATGTATGTTTATATTCGTAGCCATAGCAGTTTATTAGAAATGGCCATAAATGAAAAGAGCCTAAACGTCAATCAAAATAAATGTCAAGTGAGTTATTAATCAGAAGGGGATTAAAGGTGCCTACAGGAAGGCTAGGGTGTCCATTACACAAGTGCACACTGTAGAAAAATTGTCAAGTTGTCATTTTATAGTATACACTTTATATTTCCATTACAAACAGAAAGAAGGCTAGAATCTAGGGACGCCTGGCCTGGAAAAGTTGCTTGTTGCTGAGTGCAATGTGTCTAAAATCCCAGCACTCAAAGAGGCTGAGATGAGAGAGCAGGAAATTCCAGGTCACACTGGACTGCATAGTGAGACTCTATCTGAAACAAAACCAAGAGAAATGAACAAAATAAAAATTGCTTGTATGAATCCCTTGATTGTGAGACAGGCTTACTCTTGGAGAAACTCAGAGAATTGGCCCCTTGGTTCTTGGGAGTTGGGGAATCAGAAGGCCTGCATGTGCTAGTCCCCACAAAACTCCCAGAACTTGTAAGAAGAGAAACAGCTTGATGCCTGCTTTTAGGCAAGATAGCTGGATATGCAGCATTCCAGGGACTGCTAGGGAAGGAGATGGGGAGGGGGAGCGCTTCTGGATTTCTGGGTCTCCTATGGACTGAGAAAGTGCAGCATTGCTCCAGCACTGTGGTGGGACAGCTACCCTAGTAACTGTGCAACTGGCAGGCCAGTCTCTGAAGTGGGGAATGCGGCTTGCTCCACCTTCTCACCAACTGGGGCCAAAGTTTGAAACTTTGTTAAAATAAAGGCCTCACCTCTCCAATCTCCCTTCGGAACTCTGCACCCTCTAGGGTCCTAGAGGGTGGCAGGAAGGTGCATCAGACCACAATAACTTTGGCTTAACACTTTGCAGTATCTCCCAGAGCAATCCCTTTTTTCTGGGGGGGGGGCTGACCACTGGCCAATCCGTGGGCACAAATGTAAGTGAACATTTTAGATATTTATGGAACACTTGGAAGGAATCTTTCATCCATAGGGTGTGGAGTGGAGAGCCAGCAGGCCTGCTGTGGAGGAGGGAGCTCAGACCACTCTAGCTTAGGGTTTGATAATTAAGATGACCTCAGCTCACCAAAGCCTGTCAAGCCTGACATATGTAGTTGCATGTATTACATGTGCATATCTAAAAAAAAAAAAAAAACAGAGATAGTAAAAGCACCTGCTGTCAAGCCTGATGACCTGAGTTTGAACCTCAGGACCCACATAGTAGAATTTGTCCTCTGACCTCTTCTACATTTATGCCATAGCACACATGTTCACAACACACAAACAGAAAAAAACAAATGAATAAATAAAATATAAATCTTCTAGGACTGAACTAGTAGAGGTCTCATTTACAAAAATAGAAAGTATCTTTTGAGTTCACTTTTATTTCTATTGAAAATTTGACCAATTTCTTGTTCTAGGACATTTTTAGACTGTGCTGCACAGATCAGGGGATTTACCCAGTGGCTTGGGTCTTATCACCCACATCCCATTCCTGGGCTTCCCTCTATGGTCTCATAAGCCCTTTTGAGTGGTCCTAGCTACTTTGGGGCCCAGTTTCACTCCTTCTACAGAGTAAAAAATAAGTACCCCGGTGAGAATGAAACAGCAACCCCAGTGAGCTTTCCCCCACTATGACTCCCCCTAGTTTGCTAGCTAAAAGAACTGAGGTACAACAGAGTCCAGGGATACTGCAAGCTTGTGGCAGAGATGGTGTTTGGGCCCGAGTCTTCTCATTCCTGCAGAAGAATACTCTTCCATCCCCACCCCAGACACCATCCCATAAGTAACCGACGGAAGAATAAACGTATGAAGAAGTCGCATGCTAAAGCCACAGTCACTTTTATTTGCTACCACAAATGCAGACTAGAATTGAGGCAGTATGATACACTTCCGTTTACCCTTACAAGCTTTTGTACAGTAAACTTTGATTAAAGTGTCAGTTTGAATAAGCAATTAAATTTTCACTTAAATGGCAGTTTGTTCTTGAATTCTAGGAGAAAATCTGTCAGTGAACCTTAGCCAATTGTGATCAGATGTACTGGTGCTGGCATCTCTTCCTCCTTATCCCCTACCCCCAAGTCAGAAGGGTTAGAGAGACAAGGTTTTAGGTACTCCATTAGCTACTGGCTATCAGTTATTTAACTCAAATTCCCTTTGAATGAAAAAGAAAAATGAAAAAAACTGTGTCAAAACATTGAGGTACTTAAAAGAGGAGTTACAAATTATGATATTACAAACATAAGTGTATTGACCTTAGCAGCCATAAGCATGGCTTTTAGGGGAGGGAATTATTTATGCATGGATTGATTTCTGTGGAACTTCAAGAAAGAAAGTCCTGGTCAACAACTGAAAAAAAATCTAATCATTAGCAACCAAATCTATAAAAATCAGCACCGAAGTTTGAATTTACACAAAATACATTTTAGTATGACCTATCATTCCTCTTGCCACTTAATATCACAGGCATTAAAGTATATTTTATTAATAATTTATCAAATTGTGTTCTTCAGATATGGGTCATATTTTGCTGTTGAAATCTGGAAAAGAAACTTTCAAGTGCTTGCACTTTATCGTAACTACTTTTCTGACTGCCATTAAAAGTACAACATGGAGTTACACACGTAGAACATAAAGCTGTGCAGTCCCAGTCACATCACAGAAGTGGTCACCAAGATACACCTTGACCAGCACGGTGCATGCACTCCTCCCCCATCCCTAGGAATGGGAGAAGAAAGCAGGAGGCAGTGGGAATTTGGAAGATCTGAGGGGGAGGGGAATCAAAGTCACAGTTCAGGGATCACAGAGGACTGAAAGTTAACCATAGGAGAACAGAGAGTCTCAGGACCTCAGAACCACAGATGTCACACTTGGAAATTTGATCTCTAAGATAGCAAGAGTACACATGCACTTTCAAGAGTACAGGTTGTCAAGGGAGTATGCCCGAAAAGTGAATGCAACTTAACACCAAATCAAGTGAGTCCCTGTCCATGTGTCAGTCAGTGTGTAGGGGCAATAAAAGGAGATCACTCTAGACTGCGTATGCAGAGCAAACTGTACAGCGATCCACCCAAAAGAACACTTTTCAAACAGCCATCTCATCAGACACATCAGATTCAGAATCATCAATGAGCACAACCTGATGGTACTCACTGCTGGCAAAGGGGATTACAGTGGGGTCAGGAAGGGCAGCAGCAGCTGCTGCAGGCTCCGGTTGCCTGCCCCCCGGCCTAGGGGATGCAGTGACAGGACTGAAGGCAGAGATGCAGGGCTTGAGGTGGCCAAAGGTGGTCATCTCAAGGCAATAGGAGGCAGAGATTTCAGAGTGGCCAACAACAGTGGGTAGAGCTTGGCTGGTGGTGGCAGGCTCGAGATAGTCAATGACGGTGAGATCAGGGTGGCTGGTGGCTGGCCTGACAAAGCCAGCAGCAGGTGTAGGACAGCTGGTGGTAGTGGCAAGGCCAGCAGATACGTGATGACCAGAGATGGACTTGGAAGCGGCTTTGAAATGGACAGAGTCACCCTTGAAATGGACAGAGGCAGGCTTGAAGTGGACAGAGGAGGTTGGCTTAGGATAGACAGAGGTAGACCTGGGGTGGCTGGAAAGAGACCCATGGTGACTAGAGGCAGGTTTGCGGTAGGCAAAAGCAGACCTGGTATGTGGCCTTGGGTGGACAGAGACATGATCATGGTGGCTGGATATAGCATGACCAGGCAGTAGAACATTCCGGACGTTCAGCGGGGCTCCCCCCATGACAAGGCTGGCACGGGCATGGTCTTGTTCTCGGGCTTGATCACATTCTCGGGCTTGATCACAAGCACGGGCGCGGGCACGAGCCAGAGTACGGGCCTCGAGAGTCTCACGGATATCAGTGATGAGCTGAGAGAGGAACAGGATAGGGTGCCGCATAGCATGGAAGATGGCCCAGTATTCTCGTCGGAAATTCTCATTGAGGACACCATAGACGATAGCGTTCAGGCAGCTGTTGAAGTAGGCTATGCAGTAGGCTGCAAGATAAAGCCAGTTAGGGATCTTGCCTGCCATCTCCTTTGGACTGACAGCCACCAACACAGTGAGCACGTTGATAGGGCACCAGCACACTGCAAAAAGGAGGAAGATCACAAACATGGTTAGAAAATTGCGAACCTCAGCAAATTGGTTGTCAGGGTTTTGTCCAGCTGGGTCACGGGCTGCCAGCACTTTGATCCAGATTTTCATGTAGCAAAAACCAACTATGAGGAGAGGGAGGATGAAGTGGATGCAGACGATGGTCACAGTGAAGGCAGGGTTATTCATATAGTTGAAGATGCAGGTGTAGGTACGAGGATCATATTCAATGGTGCCAATGTAGATGTTGGGCAAGACAGCCAGGATGGTCATAACCCAGGTGACGACCAGGAAGATGCAGGTGTTGCGCAGGCTGAAGATCCGCTCATACTGAAGGCTGTGGCAGATGTAGCAGTAACGGTTGATAGCGATGGCCATGATGTTGAAGATGGAACCGACCACACTCAGCCCTGTGACCAACCCGACCATCTGGCACTGGAGCTGGCTCAGATCCCAGCCCCCAACTGACATGGCATGCAGCATCAGAGGGTAGGGGTAGAGGGCTACCAGCATATCTGCCACAGAGAGGCTGGCCACGAAGATGTTGCCTAGAAAACATGAGAGCAGGGAAAAGGGGGGAGAGAGACAAAAATCAATGGTTAAACTTCAGAAATCTTCCCCACAGAGTGGAGGAAAAGGCCAACTGGACTGGTGACAATTTAGAATTTGTTGTCTTCAAAAGCACAGTTTTCTTTTTTCCTTTTGAAGCAAGTCCCAGGCGATTCTAGCAGGTTTGGGACACCTGTCCTTCGCCCACCTTTTCCCTTTTCAATGCTGTCTTTGCTCTGAGAAAGAAGTGAGCATAAGACAGAGACAGACAGAGAGCATAAAAAAACCGTTGTGAGGACGCAGAGGCCTGCTGACGCCATTTTGAAGAAAAACAACTGCGCCACTTTTTCCACCCTGGAGGAGGGGGCATGGGAGAGAGTGGAGCAAGATGGAACCTTCCCGAAGCCGGAGGGTAGGGGCCAAGGAGAGATGCTGGAGGAATGTGAGACAGCCTAGACCTAAAAAATGACAACAACAGCAATAATAATGATAATAATGCATTAGCTATTGCCTTTTAAAGGAAAATATAAAGAGATCGTTCTGAAAAAGCTTTTGGGGCTTGTTCAAAGGGATCAAACTAACCACAGGCAGAACCCCATGAAATACTTACCACCCGCCAGGTACCTTAAGAATAAAACCTAAGGGTAGAAGGAAGCCCTGTAAAACCCACTCTGAGGTCAGAGAAATAGCGGCCAGTGGAAACCAGAAATCCCTGCAAGTGCAGGCTTCCTGGCTGTCAGAGCCAAAGCATCGTTCAAAAGTTCCCTCACGTGAACACTGACCCAGACTGGAACCTGCAGGGCTAAACTGGGGAACTGGTGTGGGGATTCCCCCACGCCCATTTCGAGGGGCAGCTGTACCAACTTTTTTTTTCTAATCTTGCACAAAAGCACAAGTAGCCAAGTGCGGGTGCACATGCCTGTTTCATGGGCACCACCCGGTTACTAATTAGCTTTAGTTTGGCAAAACGCTGCACTTCATCCCTGGCTAGGAGTAAGTGAGCGCTTTTTTAAAGAGCGCCAAGAGTTGATCTCAGTGCTTTCTACCAAAGGGATTTTTTTTTCTGGGGTTTTCCCTCCAAGTAATGAAAAAGGGCAAAAGCCTTAAAAATAAACCACAACAACCATAAAAACTTTTATTTGCATTACAGAAGAAAAGAGAAGAAGAAAGCAGGAGAAGTGAGCTTCCCAGGTGATCTCGCGTGTCCGTGGTTCTGCACCAGGTACCGTATTTAGAGTCAAAGGTGAGGTCCAAGTCCTGGCCTCAGGTTTCTGGGGTACAAAGGAAAAATCAGACGCACCCGCCGGGATATGAAAGAAAACTTTTAATGACTCTAGAGTCTGTCACTGCGTTTTGAAACGTGTGGTGTTTGTGACTCCTACTCCCCTTAAAGTAACTCCCCAGACGCTGCCCGGTCCCCTCCCCAGCACTGGGTTCGCCACGGTCCACAGGGGTTTGTTGTATGTAACCCTCCCGAACCGCGTCCAAGGCCACGGACACCTAGGCAGCAGAGACCCCAGGCGCCACTGCCACAGTCCCCCTGCCGGAGTGAAGAGTTGGGGCTCCATCTGCCCACCTCCAGTCATCCAGAACCGTCTCCGGTCCACCCAGAAAATCCGGGTCGCCGCTCTCCAGTCTGCGCTTCCTCTATCCCCACCCCCAATACCCCTACCCCTGCACAGGTCAGAGTGCGCAGCATCCTCCAGCACGGTCCCACTCCTATCAGCGCAGGCTGGCAAAGGGATTCCGCGCAGCTTCTGCATCCCACCGCTTTGCAATCAGAGTCCCTGGCCTCCCCTGAGCTCTCCCACCGCCCTCCCACCGTCCCTACCTGCTTCTGCCGCCTTGTCTAGACCCGCCAGAGCTTAGGCCGAGCTCCCGCGCCCCTCCGCCGACCCTCCCTGTGACCCCCCCGGTACAGACCTCCGTATCTCCGCTGCCACCGCCGTCGCTGCCACCGCCTGCAGCGTCCAGCCCGCCGCTCGCCGGTCTCCACCGCGCGCCCTGGGACCGGCTGACGGAGCTCGGTTCGGCGGGCTCAGACCTCCCAGCTCCGTACTCGGGCGTGGGATCTTCGCTCCGCCGCCGGGGAGCGATCCGAGAGCCCCCACGCCGCGGCGAGCGGGGTCTCCGCTGCCCTTAGGGGCGGCCGCAGCGTTGCGCTCCGCTCCCGGGAGCGCCGCCGCGGCCGCCGGGAACTTAACTTTCCCAAAGCGGGTCGCAACACCGCTGCTCCCTCTGCGACAGTTCGGCCCGCAGTGCCTCTGCGCGGCCACCCCTCCGGTGTCCAGCTCAGCCGGCTATCCCCCGGGCGGCCGCCAGACTCTCGGATCCTGTGCCGACTGCCTGTGTCCGGTCTCCGACGGGACAGGGATCGGCGGGGTGCCGCGCAACGTATGAACCTGGGCTTTGCACTTGGCTGCCCCAAGCTAATTCTCTGAGCTCCCCCGGGTACCGAGAAGCTCGAAGTTTATGGGACCCCCGCAGAACATCACCTCCACCGCCCCCTGGGCTTGCGGGGAATTTGGAAGCGGGATTTGCAAGGTTGCTGCCCGCTGGGTAGGGGAAGGAAGGGTGGCTTACCAGAATTTCGGAGCTTCTTGTTTTTCGCCACGGCTAAAATGACCATGGTATTGCCGATCAGGTCTGCGACAACGGTGATAACCATTGTGCAGAACATGAAGGTGATCAGTGCTGGTGGGTAGTCGGGCTTCGGCAGCTTGCAGCCGATACAGCCGTAGGGGGTAGGAACCGCCCGGGTAGGTCCCATGTTGCTGGTGGAGACCGTGATGATCCCCTGGCAAGCTCTGGATCAGCAGCGAGTCCGCACAGCGGCGGCGCAGCGAACACCTGCTCGGCTGCAGGGAGCTCCAGGAAAGCGTGGCGCTCTCGCCGAAGCTCTGCGAGCAAATGACAGCTTCCCACCCCTCGGCGTTGAGCTTTTAAAGCCTCAAGATGTGGCTAACCCCACCCCTAACCCCGCCCCCTGACCAATCAGAGCTCTCTGACCACCCCCGCATTTGTCACCACCTTTCCTTGGACAAATCCACTCCGAGGTGTTGTAGCCTTGCTTCCGACTGCCTTGTATGTGCTTCCCCTCCTCGGTAGCTGCCTCCTCCCAATCCCCCAGGTACCTTGCTTCGTGACTAGCTCAGTCTGTAGCCCTAAGCGTCGGTTTCTAGCAAGTTCTCTTTCTCCCTCCAACACAAATACGTAGCAAAGACTTGTAGGTTGCAAAGTGGGTTCATGGGGTGTTTCATAGAGTCTAATATCAGCTCAAGCACGTCTACATACCCCCATAAGGCGTAGGACAGCCGGCGACCCTGTCAAGCCCCCCCCATCCTTGCCCCTGCAGATTCCTTTGGAGGTTTTCTCTCTCTCTCTCTCTCTCTCTCTCTCTCTCTCTCTCCTGTTTCTAGCTTTCTGCACTCAGCGAGGCACAGAGAGCGTGCTGTGGTCTCCCACAACACATTGGGGTCCCTACGTTCAGAGAGCCCCCCCCATCCTTGCCCCTGCAGATTCCTTTGGAGGTTTTCTCTCTCTCTCTCTCTCTCTCTCTCTCTCTCTCTCTCTCTCTCTCTCCTGTTTCTAGCCTTCTGCACTCAGCGAGGAACAGAGAACGTGCTGTGGTCTCCCACAACAAATTGGGGTCCCTACGTTCTGAGGAATTCATCCTGTTCCTGGTCCTGACAAAATCGGATTTGCTCCCTTAGCTGCTGCACCTCTCACTCGTGTCTTGGGCTTGCAGCTTTCCCGAGGAATGTATTCCGTGTCTTACTCTGGAAGAGGGGACCAAGTCTCCATCCTGGGAATTGGGGAGTGCTGCCGATGGCCGCTCGGACCCCAGCTTCAGGACGAGCGGGAGCGAGACCTCCCAGTTACCCTCATTCTGGCCAAGCGAATTTAGGAGCTGCTTCGGGAAATGTAAAACCGGCAAGCAAGCCCCTCTTGGGATTTTTTTAAACAACCCAGGGCGAATGGCCTAGGCTTCTCTCCCCTCTTGGAGTGCTGGACTCTTTCAAACCGGTGGTATCCGCCAGTGGGGCCGGCTGGGAACCTGCGCTTTAGCCGCAGACCTGTTGCGGAGGAACCGAGCGGGTGGCTCAGAAGCCGCTGGCGGCCCGGCGGCCCTGCGGCCCCCAGCCCCAATCACGACGTTTCTCAGCCCTTTCTCCCTTTCCTTCCCTTGCTGGGGGCGCTCTTTTCAGCCCCTTCCCTCTCGCAGCTGGGGTCGCACTCCCCCTGCGTCCAGGTTCCCCGCCCTGTGCCCAAGATCTCGAGGTCCGGGGACCAAGGGGAATCCGAATGCTGAGGCGCAAACTAAATGGTCCTATTTTGGACACTGTCTAGCTCAACAACCTCGTCAAGGAATTGCACTTCGGTCACGACTAAAAGTTACTGTTCATGTTGGGAAGCTCTGAAAAAATCTTATTAACACCTGAAAATTTGCTCCGCAGTGGAGCTTTCTCGCCGCCGCAGGGGAGATGGGTTGCTCTGGCCCGGAGCGCCATCATCTGGACACAGCAGCCCCCTACCCCGGGGTTCGGGGGCGACCATCCGGATGAGCTAGGGAAAGTTCTGTGTGGAAGTTCAACATTCAAAAACCTTCAAAGGAGAAACAAACACTGCTACAAACTGAAATCACACACACACTTTCTCCAGCTAGAGAAAATGCGTCCCCTAGTTTGAAGATGAAGCCCCCATCTCCATTCTAGCTCAGTGCTGAGAACACAGATCCGGCGCCAATTGCAACCTCTAGTCCCAGCTTTTGCTCTGGTCTTGTCTCCCTACGCCTTTCCAACTGCAGCCTCGGCATTTTCTGTAACCAGAGCCGCCAGGGAATCACCTCGCGGTCCACGGTGCCTGGCAGGCACCTGGAGAAGAGGCTGACAGCCCAAAACCTTCTGCATATCATAGACTACTGTGTACGATCAACGTTAGACTGGACATATTATTCTGCGAAGGTTTGGAACCTTTCGCTAGCAGAATCAGGAACGGTTTTGAGTTTAATAAGAAGATTAAATGGAAGAAGAGAAAAGGAAGGCGGCACTGTGGCGCTGCAGACACTACTCTCTCCATTCTTCGAAAACACCCTTTAGTAAAGACGCACTGACGGCTATTTGGGGCAGTATTATGGAGCTGTAGTACCCCCGAAGCCCACAGAGCACCCTGGTGCTGGAAGCTAGCGTTGACTGCCTGCTAGAATTCCCTAGGAATGAACAGGAGGCAGGAGACTGTACTGAGGTTCTGGCCCCTGCCCTGCCGGTTTAGACGCTACTTGACCGGTGAACTCCTGGGGCTTTGATTTTTCAACACTAAGAGGCGAATGTATTAATAATCTCTGGAGAAAGAATTTTTATCTACTTGAATTAATTTTGTTATTTTTAGGAACTAGTCTTAATAAAGATTCGGAACATCCCCCAGTAGTAACAGAAACCGATGACTATTAAATCAGTCATATCGACACCTAGGCGAGAGAGAGAGAGAATCCCGCCCTGTTTACAAGGGTAGGACAGGCTTCATGTGCAATAAATTTGATGGCTTTGGAACAGTTAAAGAGAGCCCTCTTGGGATGCAATGCAGAGTATATGTTTTTAAAATCCAAAGGTATTTAAATTAAGCCTCTTTCTAAAAGGCCTGCTTAGAAGTTCTTATAACTAGGGGGGCAGTGTGGACAGAAACATTGAGGCTTGAAAGCTATTAACTTAGAACCCAAATAGGGGAGATCTGAGGCTTTCTCTGGGGAATGAAAAATCAATGGGCATTTTCTGCTGTGGCTGAGTGGGGTGAGGGTGGGGCGTGACTTTTCTACACATATAAAAGCAGTGCCTACTTGATGAGAGCTGATTATAGTGAAAGTTAGTGTTCCAGCAGAGCCCCAGGCTCTCTGTCCAACTCTTAAGCACTGTAATAATACCTTGCCTGTAATTAGTGAATGTAGCTTTTTGTTTGCATGTTTAAATACTAGCTGATGAATCGAGGACTTCCAGCATGCTATTGCAGACAGTGCTACATCCCCAGCCCATTAATTCAATTTTAAATAAGCATTTTGTAGTTTTCTAAAGCTCGTGGAGGAGGTATTTTCTCTCAGGAGCACCATTAAACAGATGAGGGAGATGATCCCTAGAGAGATAAAAGGACGTTCCCCCAGACATGCCAAGGCTACTGGAGGAGCCCAAGCTAGGATGCAGGCTTGGTCCCTTCTTAGTCCAGAACCTTGCTCCATAGCCCAGCTTCAGATGACAGTGTCTCTGTTCTAGGACTTGATAATGGAAATGCTATGTTCTCCTTTCTTTTTTATTGTTTTGATTTCTGTTTACTTGTTTTTAATGATGAGATTTAATTCCCATACCATAATAGTCATTTTTTTTTCTTTCCTTTTTTTTTTTTTTGGAGACATGGTCCTATTATATAGGCCAGTGTAGCCTCAAATTCACTGTCCTCCTATCTCAAACCTGGATTTTTAAATTATCTCTCTGTGTCTGTGTCTGTCTGTCTGTCTGTCTCTCTCTCTCTCTCTCTCTCTCTATTTTCAAGGTTGTATAAGCATTATCATTATCTAGTTCTAGTCCTCACTCCCTTCACTTGGGTTCTCCAGCACCTAGAAATTAAATTATTAATGTTTCTCTCTTTACGAATTTGCCTTCTGGGTGTTACATAGATACAGAATCACACAACATACGTCTTTCATGTCTGAATTCTTTCCACAGTATAATGTTTTGTGGTTCAATGGAGAAAGATGGATCAAGACTTTATTCCTCTTTTATGGCTGAATGATGCTCTATCATGTAGATAGACCACCACTTTATCTCTCTATCCATCTATCCATCCATTGATGGACATTTGAATTCTTTCCGCTTTTCTACTTTTATGCCAAGTGTTTCTAGTAACATTCTGGGCCCTTTTAGCCCCAGGCAACCTTAGGCCAGGATACACAACCAGAGTGTCTCTTAGTCCCCCAGGTATGCCAAGGGCTGTCTCAGGCATTCCAATCTCCTCTGGCCCATGTTTCTCTGAAATTTCCAAATTATTTCCAAAAGTCACATGGCACTATTTGGTCCAATATATAAAACTGGAAAATGACAATTTGGTACAGTTCCAATCAAAGTTTTTCAGTCTGAATAGAAGTAGTACATTTTCCATTTGTTTCCATGCCTCTGAGATGACTACGTCCTTACGGGAAGGCACACGGGACCTCATCAGCCCTGGGTGGGCTCCACTATTCCCATCCTAGCACCAAGGAGATGCTTGCTAAGTAAGGGCTTCATTTCAGGCAGTTCTTGAAAGGAAAAACAATGACTTCTCGGGTGTAGGTCAATGGTACAGTGCTTGGCTAACCCGCATGAGGTCCTGGATTCTATGTCCAGAACTGGCAAAATTGTTTGAAATCAGTCCTTCCACTGGTCAAATATCTAGCATTGGACAAGTTATATATCCTGTCTCTGTCCTCCATTACCTCATTATAGAAAGCAGATAATTACAGGGTGTGTAATTATCCCAGCATTACCTTTAATCCCAACATTCAAGAGGCAGAGGCAGGCAGATCTCTGTGAGTTCAAGACCAGCATGGTCTACGTATTGAGTTCCAGGACAGCTGGGGCTTCAAGGAGACCCTGTATCAAAAGCAGACCAAAAAAAATAATGCAGATAATTATAGTGTCTCATTATAACATTGATAGGAGGACAAAATGAGAAAGTACAGCACGTAGACAGAATACTACGCAGAACCCAGTAGACACTCGATAATCACTAGCTGCTTTGATTCTGATGATGGTGATGATGATGATGATGATGATGATAGTTTCTACTATTCTACTAAAATGTTATTTTATTTACTTCCGTGGAAGACAG